GGTCTCTCCTCACTACATGTCCAAAGTAAGTTAGACGGAGCCTCAGAATCCTTGCCTCCAAGGAGCCATAGAACCCTATTTTATATAAGGAACTTGACCATCTGGAGATTTGAGTATCGGGGGCATTCTGGAACCAATCTGTCTCAGAAACTGAGGGAAGACTGAACAAGCATACTACACTAAAGCTTAATTTTTAAACTCAGTGGATAGTAAAAGATTTACAGTGACCAGTGGCCTTGTGGGCAAGGAGGTGAGCTGTGGACCCACAGGCAGACAGTTGAAAGCTATCAGCTGCTTGGTAGAAAGATGGGCACTCTCTTCCCAGCCAATCTATTATGGGTGCCATCAGTCAGCTACCACTTCTCTGACCCTATGAGTGATGGACCTGGACCCTGCCCTGTCCTGTGCTGTCCTCCTCATCTCTGACATACACGAGTCTATTGCTGTAGCCACCAGCTCAGTGCATCTCATTAAGGGTCTTCCTTTCTTCCTCTGATCCTCTGTCGTCCCCAGCATGGTGTCTCTTTCCATGAGGTGATCGATCTATAGACTCTGAAAACCTGCTGGACGGTCAGCTACGACCCACTTCTGCCTTGACGGCAATGAGTCAGTGAGTGTGAAAGATAAAACAGAACGATTTTGTAAAGTAAAACAAAAGCTTTTTAAGTCCAAAAAGTGACTGTTAGGAGACAGTTGATTTCAGAACCAACATCGTGAAGTGTCTCCAATGTGACCCAGGTGAGGGGTGTGGTATGAGTCAGTATGTGAAGGACAGCTGACGTTCCAGGTGGGGCGGGACAGAGAGAGATACCATCAGGCTTCTCAGAATGGAGTACAACTAAAACCTTTATTGTTTACTCTTCAAATTTTCCGTTCAGTGTTTTTGGACTTCTGTTGACTGCTAGAGAGGAAATCTTTGGAAAGCAAAACCGCTAAAAAGGAGGAATGCAGTGAAATTAGTTTACAAAATACATACATGTACATATCTGCTTTGTAGAAATAAAAAAAATAAAAAATAAGGATTTTAAAAAAAATAATTTCTGGTTA